GAACACTGATGTGTTGTTGTTGTGATGAGAACACTGATGTGTTGTTGGATCTTCCTGTGTTTTTGTTTCAGTGTGAGGGTCTGAAGGCCGAGTTTGATGAGCTGCAGAACCTGTACGAACAGAGTCAGCAGGAACGTGCGGTGCTTGAGCTGGAGCTGCAGCGCTGCAAGAATGAGCTGTACAACCTGCTGGGTGGAACAGCAAAGGTGAGAGGTCAGGAGGTCACGCCACTGGACGTTCTCACGTTCATCTTCATGGTTTTAGAGAAGTAGCCTGACAGAAGAAACTTTGTCAGGTTTCGATGAAGAATTTCTGTATCTTTTGCTGTAAATCCAAATCAGAGCACTCATCAAGATGGCGGACCTTCTTGGTCACAGTGACGACTGTGTGTCTGCATGTTTGCTGGTATCAGCCGAAGTGTCCGATGTTTAGCTGCTGTTTAGCAGCAGGCTTCTGTTTTGTTGTGAGCTTCTATGGTTTTCAGTTTTTTTATGCTTCTCATTGTAAGTCCGCTAAATGTTCCAACGCTAAATGTTCCACCTCAAAGAGACACAAGAACGAAAGTTCATTCTGTCACAAGCACCGACAGCAGACACTGGTGTTTGGATCGCCTGAGCAGGTGTGACAGGTGTAATGTGCTGGACCAGAACCTCAGACTTAAACCCTGAAACTGTCTCAGGATTGTTCCACACACACGTCCTGCGTGTGCCATGTGTGTCTGTGTCATTTGGTTCTAGTTCTGTATCAGAACTGGAGTGAAGTGTGGTTTAGATATTCATTGGACATAAGACCTGTGAAACATCAACTGTCAGAAGATTACGCCTCTTGAAACTGTTGTCTCCATCAAAGGTCGAACCTGAAAACTTTCCATCTTGAGGTTAAATCCGGCATCACCAAAAAAGTTCTGTAAGCTCGATTTGGCAAGAAACGCCTATCGTTGTTGTTGTTTGTTGTTTGTTGATGTAAAGAGGTTAGTTTAGGAGGAAAACTCCAATTTTCCCCAATAATAAACCATGTATTTCAGCCTCAGGTTTCATCCACAGCATTAGTTTTTAATTCATTAATAAAGTTTTTATTTATGAGGCTGAGAAGCTGTGACCAGTTTTCATTAATAAACTGTTAAAAGCAAAGTGTCTCTTTGCTACGAGCTCTGTCACTTTGATTAATTTCTATCAATTTCATTTTGACACATGGGTAGATTTTACCGTGCTCTTATTTTTATGTGATTTTTTTGTGACTTCCTTTTGACTCAAAGAAAAACCAGTGAAACATAAAGATCTTCATGATGGAGGAAGGTCAAGGTTCTGCTTTGGATTGGGTCATTTTTCACAGATTTGGTTCAGACTGATGAAGTCCTCAGTTTAATCATCATAAATTTTTAGAAAAATCATTAAAATAATTAATTAGCTCAATTTTATCACCTCTTGTTGTGTGATCAAATAAACTTAGCTATCAAACACTCCTTCTTGAATCGCCACGTTATCGTGATGCAGGAGTTTGTACACCTGAATGATCCTAGGAGATATGCTGTCAGGTGTGATGGCCCCTGGTTGGTGTTTCCCATATGATGGTCCCAGGGGAACAGTCAGACAAAGACTCACATGAACAGAAAACAGCATGTAGCTCAGTGTCTCTTGCCCGAACATGGGTTACCGGGGCCCCACCCTGGAGCCAGGTCTGGAGGAGGGGCTCATCAGTGAATGCCTGGTGACTGGGTCTCTACCCATGGGGTTATGTCGGGCTCGTCCCAAAAAAACAAGATGGGTTTGCCTTCTTGTGGACCCACCATCTGCAGGAGGGGCCATATGAGTTGGGTGCATGATGCCATGGGTAGTGGTTGAAGGCGGGGGCTTGGCACTCTGACCCTGGCTTACCAAAGCCGGCTTATGGGACATGGAACGTGACCTCTCTGGTGAGGAAGGAGCCTGAACTTGTGCGTGAGGGTAAGCGGTACTGACTAGATATAGTTGGGCTCACCTCAATGCACGACATGAGCTCTGGAACTGATCTCCTTGAGAGGGGTTGGACCTTATTCCACTCTGGAGTTGCCCAGGGTGAGAGGCACTGAGCTGGTGTGGGTCTACTTGTAGCCCTCCGACTTGGTGCCTGCGTGTTGGAGTTTTCCCCAGTAGATGAGAGGGTGGCTTCTTTGCACCTTCAGGTAGGGGGACGGGCTCTGAATATTGTTTGTGCCTAATGGCAGTTCAAAGTATCTGGCCTCTTGGAGTTTTTAGTGGGGGTGCTGGAAGGTGCACCAACTGGGGACTCCTTAATTCTGCAGGGAGCCTTCAATACCCACGTGGGTAATGACAGTGTGACCTGGAGGGGCACGATTGGGAGGAACGGTCTCTCTGATCTGAACCCGAGCGGTGTTCTGGTGTTGGACTGTTGTGCTAATTATAGTTCGTCCATCACGAACACCATGTTTGAACATAAGGGTGTCCACAAGTGCACTTGGCACCAGGATGCCCTAGGTCGTATTTTGTAGATCGATGATTGACTTTGTAGTTGTGTCATCTGATTTGCGGCCATTTGTTTTGGACTCTCCGGTGAAGAGAGGAGCTGAGCTGTCAACTGATCACCACCTGTTAGTGAGTTGGATCAAATGGCAGGGGAAGATGCTGGACAGACCCGGTAGACCCAAACATGTAGTGAGGATTTGCTGGGAATGCCTGTGTTACGACTCCAGTCATAAAGCTTGGTGTGTGTGCTTTGTCTCATTTTAATTTTTCTTGAGGTAGATGAACAGAAGCCAACATCATCACTCCTGCAGCTCATCTTATGTAGCAATGCTCGTCAGGCAGACAATCCTCGTTTAACTCTTCGGTGTCTTCCTCCAGTCACAGCGGACTACCTGGGTACTAATTCACACACAATTAATTTTCACCCACACACATACACAAAGCTATATGACGACAGTCGAAACAGCCTGGCATAAGAACCTCTCTTCAGCTCATACCTCAAGGAGAGCTTTAATCGCATCCCAGCTAGGGCAGGGGACACTGAGTCCAAGTAGGCCATATTCCATGCCTCAATTGTTGAGGAAGCTGCCTTTAGTAGTGGCCACAAGATTGTCAGTGCTTCTCATGGTGGCCATCCTAAAACTCTGTGGCAGACACCCCTGGATTAGGGAGGTTGTCAAGTTGAAAGAGTCCTATCAGTCCAACCTTTTTCAGTCAGGTCATCTGGACAGTTTCTTTTTGAGAAACATTTTCTTCATTTTCTAAGAAACTGTCCAGATGACCTGACTGAAAAATGTTGGATTGTATACCTGGATTATTGAGCATGGACTTTGTTAGTGCTATCAGTTCTTGTTGGCTGGTGGGACTCCGTAGGCAATTGAGGAGTACTGGAGGGCCAAGAGGTCCGCAGCCTTGGCTGTTGTTGAGGCAATAGTTTGGATGTGGGAGGAGTTCGGTGAGGCGTTGGATAAAGACTCCAAGTTGGCTCCAAGGAGATTCTGGCAAACCATCAGGCAGCTGAGGAAGGGAAAGCAGCTCTTAACTAACACTGTATTCAGTGAAGATGGGGCGTTGTTGACCTCAACTAATGATGTCATCGGGAGGTGGAAGGAATACTTATTGGACTGTCTCAATCTCACCAGCACATCTTCCATGGAGGAAGCAGAGTTGGGGAACTTTGGTGTTGGTCTGTCCATAACCGTGACTCAGGTTGCCGGGGTAGTTAAAAAGCTCTGCGGCAGCAGGACTCAGGGGGTGGATGAAGGCTTTGGATGTTGTGGGGTTGTCTTGGTTGGTTGTCTTCAAAAATGAGAACCAAAGGGTGTGCTCCAATTATAGGGGCATAAGTTTTCTAGCATCCCTGGTAAGGTCTGTTCAAGGGTACTGGAGAAGAGAGTCAGATTGTTTGTCGAACCTCAGATCCAGGAGGAACAATGCGGGTTCTATCTAGGCTATGGTACACTGGACCAGCTCTTTACCTTCACTAGGGTCTTTGAGGGGTCATGGGAGATTACTCTTCCAGTCTACATGTGTTTTATGGACTTGGAGAATGCATTCAACTGTGTTTCTCAGGGTACACTGTGGGAGGTGCTCGGAGAGTATGGGACTGGGGGCCCTTTGCTCTGGGCAGTTTGGTCCCTATACAAGAAGTGTTAGAGATTGGTTTGCATTGCCGGCATTAATTGGGACCCCTTCAGGGTGGGAGTTGGACTCTGCCAGGGCTGCCCATTGTCACCGATTCTGTTCATAACTTTCATGGACAGAATTTCTCAGTGCAGCCAGGGGGCAAAGGTAGTCTGGTTTGGCGACCTCAAAATTCCTTCTCTGCTATTTGTGGATGATGTGGTCTTGTTGGCATCATTGTGCCGTGATCTCCAGCTCTCACTGGAGCAGTTCGCAGTGTGAAGCAGCTGGGATGAAAATAAGTACAGTACCTCCAAATCTGAAGCCATGGCTCTCAGTCGGAAAAGGGTGGATTGCTCTCTTTGGTTCAAGGGTGAGGTTCTACCTCAAGTGGAGAAGTTCAAGTATCTCTGGATTTTGTTCATGAGTGAGGGAAGAATGGAGCGTGAGATTGACAGATGGATCGGTGCAACGTCTGCAGTATTGCAGATTCTGTGCCAGTTCATTGTGGTGAAGAGAGAGCTGAGCTGTTAGACAAAGCTCTCTGTTTACTGGTCAGTCTACGTTCCTACCCTCACCTACGATCATGAACTCTGGGTAGTGACCTATAGAATGAGATTGTGGATACAGGCAGTTGAAATGAGTTTCCTCTGCAGGGTAGTTGGACTCTCCCTTGGAGATAGGGTGAGAAGTTCAGTTATCCAAGAGACTCGAAGTTGAACCGCTGCTCCTCCACATCAAAAGGAGACAGTTGAGGTGGTTCATCTGGTAAGGATAATCCCTGGGCGCCTCCCTAGGGAGATACTTCGTGCATGTTCAACTGGGAGGAGACTCCGGGGAAAACCCAGGACATGCTGGAGAGACTATGTCTCTTGGTTGGCCTGGGAACACCTTGGAGTCCTCCCATAAGAGCTGGAGGAGGTGGCTGTGGAAAGAGATGTCTGGACCTCCCTGCTCAAACTGCTGCCTCCGAGACCAGAGTCCAGAACAAGAGGAAGATGATGGATGAATGGATGGATGGATGGATGGATGGATGGATGGATGGATGGATGGATGGATGGATGGATGGATGGATGAATGGAGACTGTGGCACTTTACCCCCACATTTCCCTCTGTCTTCATCCTTCACTCACCTGACTGCAACCTCCCCCCTGCGGGCCGGATGTGACCTGCAGACCATTTGAAGGTGACTGGTCTAAATGGTCAGTGTCCATGTCAGACCTGAGTGTGGGACTTTCTGAGAATGGCGGAGGTGTTTTTAGATCTCACTGCTTTCCATTCCTTCCTGTCATCGTGAATCACTTGTATGAATTTTATAGAGTAAAATATAAAATTCTCTGAGGGTTTTGTTGCTCCACCTGCTGCAGCTTCTTGTTCTCCATCAGATCATGCTTTGTTTTCTTCCTGCTTGATATTCTCCCTCCTGACTTTCTTACTCTGATTATGATTTTATGTTTTTACCCCCCCCCCCCACCCCACCTCCACACTCCTCCCTTCTGTCTTCTCC